CATCTGAACTCTAAAATCCGGGTGTAAGTAGTGAGAAGACCTTTTACCATTTGGTTTGATCCTTTTTAATTTTGATGAACGATCAAAATGTCAAAGGTTGACACTTCAATACGTCGAGTACAAACTACATATAGCCATCTTCAGGATTACAATATCTATAGCCAAGGTACACGCTCGTTTGTAATTACTTCTGATAAATCGAAGTTATATTACTGGTAAATATGCACACTTAAGCACTCAGCGTATATTTATTTTAAAATACTTGAATCGTTAGCAAATCCCATACAAGCTTCCGATGGACACTTTCACTGCGATAATAAATCACCCGGAATGGCTCGGCATGTTGTAATTGATGTCCAGAACGCATTTGTTATTTACCCTTATATCAATACAACTGCTCTAAATCCAGGCTTATATTTTCACAAAGGTATCTGACAAGTTTGTTATTTGCTTGTCATAATCATAAATCAATACGTTTTGTGGTCTGTCTTTCACGACTTTGAGATAAAAAGTGGTTTCCAGGATCTCAAGAAGTGTATCGGAGCTCTCGACAGATCCAAGTACAGAACTTTTTCTTTTCACTAATATTAAGATGAGTCATGTAAGGATTATAAATATTCTTTACCCCCCCCCCCCCCCACGTTTTTTGGTAAACATTCTAATATGAACTCGTTTTGCAAAAAAAAAAAAAAAAAAAAAAAAAAAAAAAAAAAAAAAGATATGCCATGTCTACAACAGAACAAAAACATTAAAAGTTAAGATGAAATTAATATTGAAAGCAATGATAAAAAATTGTATAAACTTGAATTCAAAACACAAAACAGGACGTATGTGTAAAACCATTCTTTGAACGATCCCAAAGTCCTATTTCATCCCATCTTTGATCCTTACTTGAGGGGAAGCCTTGTCATTGAACTTTACACTTTGCCTCGCATATTTGACCAAAGTTAAACAGACTTGAAACAAAAACAATATGTCCCTGGTCACTAATATCGGAGAGTGTACAAACTTTCAATCATTCAATGCAAATCAAAAACTGGATAAGAATTTATAATCAGTTAGATTCAATTACGTTATATTTGGAGGATTTCAAACAAATGTATCATTGATTATTAGCTTGTGATGACAATTATTTCTCCACAATCTTTAAATTTTTTTTGCTGGCATAGTCTGAATCATTTACCATTTTCCTAAGACTACATGAGCTTCTACTCGCCGCTGGTTGCTAAAAGAGGAAACTAAATAGAGCTGCTGTTCCTGCATTCTCTGAATGAGACATGAGAAACATGAACCACTCTGATTGAACAGAATAATTTTTTTTTTAGATCTAAGTTGAGATTCTTCTTGCAATTGAGACATTCAAGGATCTCAATTTTATTAAAGTTCCTCTTGCTAGTTACCCTTATATTCAGATGAACGATAATTTATACCTACCGTTATAATCAAGTTTGCTGAGTTGTCACTAAAGAAATAAATTCTGCTCTTCCTGTGTCTGCATGAAAGTAAAAGCTTTGAATTCAAATTGTAAATGATCTGTTTTAAAATGTATGTGTTTAATTTGATCTTCATTTGAGCCTTAAGCAAATTAAACCATATACGAACATACCCGAGTCGTAAGAATAAATGAAAGAAAAAGCTATCTTCCTTTGTTTGCTATGCAATTATTTGAATTAGCATGTTTTAAATCCCTTTCTTACTAATACCAGAACACGAAAAAAAGGAACCATTCTGGCACTTCTATGAAAGAATATTTGCTATAAACACACAGAAACGAACAAATACTTTCTGTTTACCGCCCGCTGTTGAGTGATAGGCTGCTCCTTATTGGCTGAAAACGAGTTTCAAACATTTTCCCGATCCCACGTAGCGACGTTATTCAGGGTCATTATAAAGTTTGCTCATGTGAAAACTTCGAAAGAATACCTTTTTAATTCGTTCAGGGATGATAGTGGCTATCAAAAACTCTTTAAATGAAAAATATGTATGAAAATTTAAAAGCTAGTGGCACACCGTATTCTAATCTTTAAAGGTGGTTTTCTCTCGTCGGTGTAAAAGTTGAGAAGTAGTTCATAATTTTATAGTTTGTTTATTAGCATTTTCAAGTGGACTTTAATCAAAAATGGTAAGTTTTTTTTTTTTTTTTTTTTTTTTTTTTTGTATAGGAAAATAAAATTTAATGAAAATAATCTTATATAAAAAATTCAATGTTTTTCATTTCATAACTTAAAGAACCATAATATAAATGTACTATTAAATGTAATGAAAAATATGCCATCATGGACAAGCTAGCGGGACTGAACGATTTTAGCGAAGTGTATTTTATCAAATTTTAAATTGATATCTATTTTGAAACAACTTTTGTGACAAAAAATCATTTATTTTAAAAACATATTTTAAAAAGTGATTGAAGAATTTTATTCAGTATTAAGAATATGACAATGGATTTCCTTTAATTTGAAACTCAGGAATTAGATCTTGCGACAACTTGTTTTTATTTTTTTAATTCCTAGTCTTTCAGTGACTGCGTGAAGGAAATTAATTAGGAAACACACAACAGAAATGTTCGCTGAATACAAAAGGTTCCCTTTTCTTGTAACCAGTTAACGACTTAGCCAAAACATCTAATTACAGTAGCATGTAAATGCTGTCTACTTATCGATATCCCAAATCACAATATTGGTTCTTCGTCTTTATTTCCCCTGCTTGTACCGAAATACAAGGTATCGATCACAAGACTTAATATTTGTTCAAGCTCATACAGTTGAAATATGTGTACTGGTAAAAAAGTTCATTTTAGATTTAAAAAGTATAGCTGCAAAATTAAAATATGCATAGAATTAGACACCGACCTGACAATGCAATAAAATGCTTAATTAGCCACACGAAACAATCCGAAAGTTTTCTATGCGACTTGAATAGAAAACTGTGTTTTCACAACACTTCATTGGCAGTTTAACTGCATTTAAAACCTTGAATGTGTCTTGAGGCCACGTTCAAATACAAAGGCATTACATTATTGGATTGAATACGGAATTGGTTGTTATAATCGACTGTTTTTCTTCAGCTGTTACTTAAGTTGCTCCTTTGTGGCTACATTTAAAGTCTAGTCTTGTGGTCTACCCGTTTCATAGATGAGGTTTGTTTGGATTTAATTAACTTCTATCGCGATTTCTGTTTTCTTTGAATTGCAATTGGCCCGTGTCTTTCCGACATGGAAAAATATTCTTGTCTTTCAACTGTGTGAAAAAATGTGATTTTATTTGACTTGGTTTCTTCGTCAAAATTCACAAACTGTTTATCAATTTTCTTTGAAATTTATATTTGACTTGTTGTGTTCATATTGTATGAAAAGCTGGTGGAAAGCTTTATCACTGAAAAGAATCAGAATATATCAATAATTGATAAGCATTTTATATTAACTTGACAAAACTGATGACTTTTTTTCATAAAAATAAACCAAAGGGAGAGAGAGAAAAACAAAGAAGCTTCTATAAAATTAATAATCTATACCCTCTGTTTTGTTTTTTTTAGACCGGCTTTCGAGTGAAATGTTAAGCAGAAGAAAAGTTCTTTATGAAATCACGAAACCATATACGACACATTCATTATGCGTTTCGTTCAAAATTGGATTTCAATTGAAATTTTCACCACAGTAAATTTTCAGCTGTCAAATGCCAGGAACATTACACAGAAAAACACTCAGATTATATTCAAAGCAAAAACTGTTGTTTTTTTCCCTTGAGAAATACGTGCATATGTTTAAATATGAGGTAGTCATTGTTCCTAAATCTTTATGGGGATATTCTTCGAGTTCTTTTAAAAATTATTAATAAAAGCAACGTGCACATGTCTTCCTAGGTCTAAAATCGATTTAAAATTGACAACTAAACAATGCATGTGAAGGGTTTTTTTTAAAGTTATAAAAGGTAGACAAATATTTTAGTAAGTTGGTATATGACAGATAAATAACATAGCACAGATTATAAAATTTAACGGAAACTGCTGCCTTTTTTATCCGCTAAATACAAGAATTTGCTGGATTTTCACATAAAATATTTGTGTCAATCCAATTACTCTATCAGCTCAGCGAGACAGAAAATTACTTTTCGTACTTTGCCCTCGATGAAGATTTAATGGATTTATCGACGATTTCTCCGGCATGTAATTATCAAGGAATTATATTTTGAACAAATTTTGTATTTCAAATTTACCTGAGAATTTTAACAGTTAGCAAATTATCTTATTAGTGAATTTGACAACTTGATCTGGAGTAAAAATATTTTGATTATTACGTCGTTGGAATTTTCTTGCTTGAAACTGTTTCATTGTAATATACAGCTCATCTAAATAAGCTTCAAATAGGTCAAAATGACACGAAGTAGGTGATCTTTTACGACATATTATGATCGTGATAAAATTATTGAATGCGCATATTGAGAACTTTTTCCACAGAGTCATTTTTAGGTACGGAGAATAAGCTTTTAAGCTATGAAAAAAAAATCTATAATAAAATGTAGTAAAGCAACTTGTATGAAAATATATTTATATTTGGCGAATAAAATGAGAAACTCTCATCGTTCCGAAAAGATTGAAATTTAGAAGAAAACCCCGAACATAAGCATTGGTTTTGTATGATAAGGAAAACCTATCCTTAAAAAATCTCAGAGTAGACCAACTATCTAGAAACTATCTTGACCGAATAGAATACAACTTTAATGTTTTAAATGCTACTTTCCAGCATTTATCCCGATAAGGGGCTTATCCATAGAAAAACTGTCCAAATACATTTCTGTGGTCAGCGATAATACTCATAATTTATGTTAAAATCAACACCTTAAGCAGACAGGGAGACTGAAAAAATAAGAAACCCCAACTCCCTTTTTTTAATTGTTGGAAATTTAAGAACAAAAAGTAAAAGTTGTTTTTGGTCTCTATGAATAAGAGATTTTACTTCAAATTTCTCTTTTCAGGATGTGAGTCAAATTCCTAGTTATTTAAAGTTAAACCTATTGCGGAGAGTGCCGAGTGGTTCCATTCGGCACCAAAATGAACAGGCGTAAACAGCAGCCGTTGCAGACGGCAACACATACTCACAAAAAACCACGCCGTGTTAAGATCTCGCAAAATCTCGCTCCACCACTGATGGCACATCTCGGATATCAAGGTGCTCGCCACTTACATCCCCAACGTCTTCCGACGAAATCACCCGAAAAGACAGTATCCGTCCGTCTTCTGGATCTGCGGAATGAGACAATTGAAAATGTACAGAAAATTGCTGACACAATCAAAAGACTTATGGTGCCAGGTTTACGCTTGAAAGCAATTCCTGAGAACTTGGTGGACCAACTAGTGATGCTTGAAAAACTCGATTTGAGCAATAACCAACTCTCCGATGGAAGTTTACCGGAATCGATGAAAAGGTTGGAAAATCTAGTAGAACTAAATTTGAATACGAATAAATTCACCAAAGTTCCACCTGCACTCAAGAAACTGAAAGCTTTATCTAGACTGGATCTCAGTGAAAACAGTATTGAAAGTCTGAATGGACTGGAGAAACTCCGGAGAATTCAGATACTAGTCGTGGACAACAACAAATTGACTTCAGTGTTTAAAGAGGTTTGTCATATGAAACGACTGGAAATTTTACGGTGCGGAAATAATCTAGTGAAAGACATTGGAGTCGAAATACGCCAAATGAAGCAGCTTAAAGACTTAGATATTTCAAATAACAGATTAACCGTTCTTCCAACAGACGTTCTTCTTCTTCCCAGTTTAGAAACTCTAAATGCTAGTCGAAACAAAATTACAAAGATTCCAGCTTTCAACATCAAACTGCACAATCGACACTGGGTCTCAGAAGTTGACCTTTCGGACAATCAGATTACAGTATTTCCAGGACATCTCTTGAGAATGACTGAAAAATTGGATCTTAGCAGCAATCAAATAAAAATTCTCAATATGAATGCTATGAAAGAATTAGAAAGGAATCCAAATCAAGAGTTAATTGTCGATGACAATCCGCTAGTCTTCCCACCTGCAGAAATAACAGGACAAAATGCCATACTGGCTTACATTCAAGAAGCTCGTCTCAACACGCCGGTGTATCGCGGAATGAAGATTTTAGTGATCGGATCGCATAAGAGTGGAAAATCAAGCCTTATTCAGTCGATGGTGGACAGTCAAGCAAGACTTGCAGAGGACTTGAACGAAAGTATTGCTGGAATTGATCTTTATGATTTAGTGTATGACTGTGAAATGAAAGTGAAGAATGAGGAAACTGGAAAGATGGAAAAAGAAGTTCGTCCACTTCAGCTGTGTTTATGGGACTTCTGTGGACATCCTTACTATCAGTTTCCACATTACTTGTTCTTCGAGCAACCTTCGGTGGCTCTATTAACGTTTAATATGAAAGAATTTACTTCTGAGAAATTTAACGAGATGATTGGTTGTTGGTTGGACTGGATGATCGCGAAAACCAACAGCTTAAAAGTTGTTTTGGTTGGAACGCAATGTGACAAAATGTCGAAAGAGAAGATCAAGGAAGTTAAAACTGAAGTCAAAAGGCAGATGACGGAGTTCAAAAAATATCACGAAAGTATTCTAAATGAAAGAATCAATCAAATATCAGAGAAATCCGAGATCTCACCGACTCTCACTGAGAGAATGTTTTCTTACCGAAAACTGCTGATCTTCACAGATACTTTCACAGTACAATCGGATGTCATTGCTACATCATCAGCAGAGTTTATAGGATTTGAACAACTTCGAAAGAGCATTGAACTCATAGCAAAGGACGGAAACCAATTTCCACCAACACCAGAATACAATTTGCCACTTGTTTTACACAAAGTAAAAACGTTCTGGGTCGATGTAGAAAACTATTTAGACGAGAAGTCAAATTGTATGGTCGTTCCCATAATGCCATGGGATGATTACGTGGAAGAAGTGACAGCGAAGTTTGGAATGAAGAAACAAATAAAAGACATTACGCAATACTTGCATGTAACTGGGAAAGTGCTTTGGTTTTCTTCGTCGCCTGTTCTATGTGACTTCGTGTTTATTCGTCCCGGCTGGATTTTTGAGTTACTTCGTAATATTTACCGCCATGATTTTGAAGAAAAAGTGGACTTTGCCATAGACGACACATATAAACAGATGGGCTTTTCACCGACAAGATTTGAAAGAAACAAGAAGGAGGTTGTCCAGCATGGTGTTATGGACAAAGATTTTTTGCGTGCCATGGTAGGGTATTTAGTACCTCCTGATATGAAAGAACAATTCAACTTTGTTTTAGACATTCTGCTTCGGGGTTTCAAAATTGGATATCCAGTAGCTAGGAAATCTAAAGAAATGACGTATAACCTCAGTCCAGAATTTGAAAATTTAGAGAACACCTCCAAAATATTAATCCCCTGGATTAGGAGAATAGAGGAGCCAGAAGAAATTGTTTCATTGTGGAAAGACCATAACGACAGAGAAAGAGTGGCAGCTTTATTGAGGTTCCCAAAATACATGCCTCCGGGCTTGTTCGAACTCCTATGCGTTGGCGCACAAAAGATGGAAAAACATAACCTTACCTTTAGGGCGCATTGGTGTAATGGGATCCTTGCAAGACACAATAAGATTGATGCTCTCTTCATGTTAAGTTATCAGTTGGGCCCGGAAGGCAGAGGCGCTAGTCTTAAGTATGAGCTTAGAGATGACAGTCCGGATCCTATGTACTATCCCACAAGACCAGCTGCAATGTGGACAATTCTCCTTCCTTTGCTCCAAGAATTCGAAGAAATCATCAAATCTTTCAAAGGTTTGGATGTACTTAGTGATTTATTGCTCTCACTGAGAGAACCATGAGATTAAAGTCGCTGAAACTCAGTTTCATATGTTGGTTTTTGTTATGAATGTCTATATTTCATAATTTCCTGCTAAAATATACGAGCATCTATGATCTTAAAACATTCAGATAATTTTTTCAAAAGGTGTATTGGTGGAAAGACAGATGCTTTGCAAGTTCTGCCAGGAACCGTCTTTCCTAGGGGAATGGAATACCCCGAAAGAAACTCAAAACCTTCCAGAGAAAGTCTGTGAAGTTTGTGGCGAGAAAGTGGACACAGACACTTTGGTCCAGCAGCGAGAAGAGAAAAGAGGTAGAATCTTGTCTCACTTAAATATATTTCTTTTCATTTGCACAAAGATAAGGGTATAATGAATCCATTTACTAGTACTGTGATTTTGGAATAAATGTTAAACAATAACCAGAAGTAATTTTAGTTATAAATTGTTTGATATACAATGTTTCACGAGCAGAATAACTTATTTTTCTGTCATAATGAAATTATCATTTTCCATGAGTCATTGCCATTGAGTTTGTAAATTTAAGTATGTAGCTAAGTTATATGTTTATATAGCAAGGGTTTCTTTTAATATACTCTTTTGTTATATGTATTTTATAGTATCGGAAACAGGGCAATAGTTACATACGCTTTTAATACGGCCTATCATTTATTAAGGTTATCAAATTTTATTTGTAAGAGCATTACGATTGTTTAAAATGGAAATTTGCTAGATCTTAATGTGATCAATATTCATGATGAATCTGTAAGACTAAATAATGGCGGTGTTTACTGTATGGTTGCCATTGTAGCTGAAGGTATAATTATAATTTTAACACGGTATTGCGAGCACAAGTTAATACAATGGAAAAAGGGAACGATTAATGTTGTAAATCTTCTGACTAGTATGAATTACAGAACATTTGTTCAAAACTACACACAATTCTGTTTATTTCTATTTCAGATGGAATAAGTATGAAACCCACTCTTTTTTGCAAACTAAAATCTTTGATGAAATGCTATTGTTTCTGTACAATTTCTGTACTTTTATGATTATTCTGTTTGAACATATACATTCAATTATTTTTTCCTACTATTATACTCATAACATTTAAACATTCGAACTTTAAATGAGTTTGATGCCTCATTTGCATGTTATTATGACTGGCAATTTATTTTCTCACTAATATATTGTAATGCCTCGTGTTAGAGCAGTTTATAATTAGATATAATTCAGAAAAATAAGGAACATTAAAACTCTTTTAACACACAGCAATTGTATTTTTTCGGATTGCTTCGGATAGAAATACATGTAGAATGTAAAATAATGAAATTAGAACTCTGATAATAATAGTCTTGTCTTTAATAAAGGCTTGTTTTATAGGCAAATCATAACAAACTACATTTTCATTAAACAAAAGAATTCAACGACATAATTGGTTGTATTTCAGTTGACTTAAATACTTTAAGAGCTCGAATTGCTGCGCAGGCGAAATTGGACGCCAGACGCGCGCGCAATTCAGACCCTGTCGATTCTGACACGTGAGTACGCAGGCGCACTTTATAGTGCAGCAGACTTCCGGAACTCCCTGTGTGTGACTAATCTTTAATTTTCTTTTGACTACCTCTAACCAGGAACAAAACTAGCCACGTTTTTTGTTTATTTTTCTTGTACTCTAATGCATCAGTAAGCTTTAAAGAAACAATGCAGAGTACGAAATTTAAAGTAGACAATTTTCAGATGGAGCTTCGACGCAAATCATATTGATGATGGGTTATATATATTGCCTGAACGCTTTGCATATTCATATTTTATGTATCTTTATATTCATACAAGTACTTTCTGCATTGTTGAGCTGAACATAACGATATTATAATTTATTTTCAGTTTGTATTCATTCCAGCAAAGCACTTTTAATTGTTATTAAAGCTAACATGTCGTTTGTAAGAGTTTGCACAGTATTTCATTAAAATGTCACGTTATTTAATAATTGAGAATTACATTACGTTAATTTGTCATTTACGGCATGTAGCAAATTAAGTTTTCTATTCATCCTATTTTTTAAAGAAATTAGAGGATAGTTTAGAGCACTACTTGAAAAAATTCTTATCATCTTAGTAGAGTTGATGTTAGATCATTGTGGTTGAGAAAAAAATTAAGGAATTAAAATCAATATCAAGGCAAAATATTTTGTTTTTCAAAAATAAATATATATGAAAAGTAACGAATTGTCAAGAAAATATTTGTGAAATCTAACCGCACGTGTAGAATATATGTCAATGTGATTCAAAAGTACTCATTTCATATATCTCATTTTTTCAAAGATGACGTGCTGCATAAGCTGGGAGAAATACGAGCACGTAGAAAAGGTGCTATGGCCAAAGGAATGACACTACAGGAGATGTTACACGAAGAAGAATTAGATAAGCCAAATTATGGCCGGGAAAGACGTAGAAATGTAGGGGTACTTCAGCCATCCGATCTCTCAAGTCTCCTTCCTTCAATCAATATAGGATCGGGAGAAGATGAAGAAGGAGGTGACGTGGAGTCTACGACAGAAGGAAATATGAACAACATCCGGGCACTCTATCTTCTGAATTTTCCAGGACTCAATGGCGAAGACAACTGCTGTGGCGAAGATGACCAAGAGGAAGGTGACGAAGAAGAATTCATTGAGGAAGAGCAAGCATTAATTGAACAATGAATCTTTCCATACTTTTAAACTTAAATGAAGTTTAGAAATTTGGAAAGACTGTTTAATTAACTACACAATAATTTGCAGACTTTTGGATCTGTATTTAAGTTTGAATTTTAATATTCGCATCATACATGCTAGGAATTGCTTTTCACGTTCAGGCGAATTCCACAGACCATTTTTGGTTATCGGTTATTTTTCTGTACACGATTTGTCCACTAGACACTTATTCGTATTGAATGAAATTGGTGCCTTATGAAATGTGAGCAACGCAATATACATATATGTTGTCCTCTGTTGTTTTTCTAATGTTATTTAAAGTAGGTTTGAAATTCATTTAGATTTGTTTTATATGTTTTATTAAACAATATGGAATGAACTCCAGAGCACACCTTTTCCAGGAATATTTGTTATGTTTGTACTATTTATTCTTGTTTAGAACAGTTGTGTTGTCTTAAGGACCATGGTGAAGGTCAGTGCTCCATAAACGTAATAAAATGATTTAAAAATATATATATATTTTTTTCATTTTTAGTTGAAATCTGATTTCATACTATACATAACACTTTTAATGTATGATATCTTGAAAATATTTTTTGTAACAGTGTTAGCGGCTTTTAGAGTAAAAAGATTGTTTACATAACAGCATAGTGATCATTGAAATTAGCTTGAACAGTTGAACAATTAAAGGGAGACAAATGCAAATTAATAGCAGAGCATAGGTGGATTCTACCGTATCAAGTGGAAGAAGTTTAAGAAAATTTGTTTAATTTTCTTATTTTACTTCAAAAAAGGGATCATAAAATACGTATTTTACAAAATAGAAATGTTTAAGAAATTCATTGGCCAAATTCGGTGTAGTTAAAAATAAATTGGTATTGATAACAACTTACTTTAAAACATTTTCAACACTTTTTTAAAGGACACAGCAGACTTATTTATCGCATAATTCCAGGCAAGTTTTAGAATCTTACAAGTAGTGTGGTGGTTCTAACGTTTTCCGAGCAAATCAGTTGGTCTGGTGGAGTGAAATAGATTAGCTTTTGGATAATTTGCCGCTCATACAACTTCTAACATGCTCTCGTGTTTTAATACATTATAAAAACCAAAATAGTAGCAATTTCTTCAGGAGTACAAAATGACACTAAACATTAAAAATAAATATATGAAATAAAATATAATTTAAAATATGATTTCCAGTTTATCGACCCTGGTGAGAAATAACACTCACTGGAATCAATGACGTATTCCATATAGGCCCTAAAAGTTAAGAGACGATTTCTGCCCAATTTTGCAGTGCTAGTTATGCTGAAATTGTTTGCATTTCAAATATAAATTGACTTGGAAAACCATTCTAATCATTGCGAAATTTTATATGATTGAAGAAAGGAATGATTTGCCTGAATAATTTTTTTCAACACTGTAAGTTATTTAATTTTAGGTCATCTTTTAAAAAGCAGAATCATTTCTCTTGCATACAATTTCTCTTCTGGTACATCTCTGCTGATATCACTGGATGAAAATTGTATGAATTATTTCATCTTCTTGCCTGGATATGAACTCAATTGGTTGATTTGAAATATGTTGATGTTCATAAATTTTTTTTTTGAATGAGAATAAAATTCATACGGTAATAGTACTATTACATAGTATGAAAAACAAAGATGACTCAAAAATTAAAATAATAAAAAAAATACATTGGTATCTTGAACAGCTCTAACATGTAAACAATTGACATTTGATGACAGATAAATTGAAAGTATTTATTGACTAAGAGAAGAGGAAGGTTATTGTTGTTTTTTTTTAGAGAAAAAAATTATCCTTAAATGATGTCAACATTAAAACAATTTCAGTCATTCCAAAGTCTGAAATGATCAACAGCTGTCATCACCAATTAAAAGTTATGAGAGATTTTTGGGAAACAGCTTCAAAAATGCCCTTTACTTTTGAAATTAATTACGCTAAAGGTTACATTTGATAATAATACTTACATATCTTCTTATTCACTAGTAACACTGTATCATTTTCAAAATGTGCATACCTGGTATTGATTTTAATACTAGTAACATGTTTGGTCGTTTATATGCGTGTATCTTACCCACTTTTCCTAGAAGTCATCTCAAGCAGTCCTCCGACCTCTTTGTTATTTCTCTTACAAAACATACATCTTTATAGCAGGAAAAGAAAATTGCTGTAATTCTAAGATTGAGTCGAATCTAGATTGCTCATTTGCTTGAACGTGAAGGTTTCATCCTTAATTTATCAATATTATCGCAGAATGAATTCAAAGTTAAAGATGCAACCCTTTATCAATGTTGACATTTAAACCGAGTTTCAAACATTGTATATTCAAAAAATAGTAGTCGCATTCTTTCGAAGCTGAATGAAAGTTGAAATTTCAAAACAAACATTTCAACGTTTAAAATAACATTTTGTTTCCAAATTCTTTATTCAGACTTAAAATGTAAATGCATATCTTCCCGGTGTTTTTCCTATTTTGATTCAGAGCTTCTGAGCTGCAAAATGACTGCCAAAAACATGTATTTGTCGCAACCGCATCGAAATCTTTGGTCCGATTTTAATGGCCAATTTAGAACAAAGCAACTGTACACAAAGATGTTATTAAGGAGCTTTAACAACTTTTGCTTGTGTGGAGAATCAAAGTAATTCAGTATATATATATATATATATATATATATATATATATATATATATATATATATATATATATATATATATATATATATATATATATATATATATATAATTGAATAAATAAATGGCAAATAATACAATGCCAGATTTAATGTAAAGATAGAAATCAATGCAATTACAAAATAATAAATTTCATTTTATGAAGAGACAATTTCCATCGAATAAAAATATGTTTTTTCTTGTCACCAGTTTTTGGCTGGGGTTAATATGTTGAATCATTTTTCATGTCCGCATTCCAGGACTTGAAGTGTGTATCTAAGGACTAGCAATTGAGGAAACAAACATCTTAACAAAATAATATTTGATATTTTGTTTGACTGATAAAACGGAAGTATTGGTATTTTAGAATTATTAATTAAGTATCGTTCAGTTGATACTAGTACTAATTGTTAATTGTGTCTTTAAAAATATTTGAACGAGCTCAATAGTTTATCTTGTAATACAACGAGTACCAATATCCATCAAAGTTAATTCAATTACTTATCTATTATATAACTGTTATTTTATCTGCTTCAATGCGGAAATTGGTGTTCCGCATTCGGTGGTAAGTTTTTTTTTACTACGATACATAACAGTTTCAAAAAAAAAAAAAAAAAAAAAAAAAAAAAAAAAAAAAAAAAACTCTTAAATTTTCAGGGTCAGGTGATTATTTGTCTGGAAATTTTTTTTTACACTATTTTCATTGACACTTTTATTTTTTCTTCTTTTCATTTGTCTTATTCTATAAGACTTAAATAAACTTTCGAACATCAAACGACTCTTGATAAAATATTCTATGCTCCCATGTTGATTATAATAGTGTAGACACTAAAAATAAGCTCTTGTTCCTTTTCCAAAACGAAATAAAAATGAACATTGGTATTTATTTTAACAGTCACATTCATTTGTGTATTTTTACGAATACCCAGTATTGAAACAAAAACCAGTGCATGAATGCAATATATCAGCATTAAGAATTGATTTAAATGTAAAGTTGATACAGGTACATCTAACTGAATTTGAAACGTTCATTCGATCTTGAAAGTTGAAGTAAATACTGTTTTTTCAATTCTTTTATAATTTTTGTCTTTCTATAACATTCGTACATGTTTTTTTTTTTTAAATTCTCTAAATATTTTCTTTCACTTAATCTTTTAATAGTAAAATCAATTATCTTGCATAGCCTTTCTTATTATCACAGATCTCCGCAATTGTTTGGGGTGGAAATTTTATGGATTACTTAAACTTCTAGTTTGGATTGTTAACCTTAATTGGTTGTTTTTAAGTGGTGTTATGCTCATAAATTTTTTAACGAATATAAAGAAAAATTAATGCTGTATTAGTATTTAGGGAACAAAGAAAAATTAATGCGGTATCAGTATTTAGGAAAGAGAGTATTTAATATACAAAGGATCTCCCAAGTTTGAGGTTGAATCCAACGAATTGAGTTGTTTCTATCCTGAGCCTTGTCAAAGGATAGAAAACATGCAACTCGATGGACAAAAATAATATGCAACCATAAAACATGAGAAATTTGTTTTATCACATGTTTTTAACATAGCTATCACATGTGTTACAGTGCAAAGAACTAATTTTGTTACAGCATCGATGCTAATTTCTAAAATTCTTTGTTTGCTCATTTGAATGCTTCTTTTACTTGCTGATTTAATTCAAGTTATTCTTAACTTGATGCTACTTTTGCTGTTTTATGATTAGGTCAATGCTACCGGAAATTCCCTGTACTATTCAGTGTTTTATAGATAAATCCACTTTCTTTGACCTCATCACTTTCGTCAGAAAACCATTGTAATGTCGCAACTATGGGAAATAAAATAAGATCGTATGACTGATGTCAAGAGGTTTTGTTTGTTTGTTTGTTTGTTTGTTTTTTAACGCCCCTCTCGAGAATTTTTCACTCATGTGGAGACGCCACCATTTGCCGGTGGAGGGCTACAAATTTTGACCTATACTCGGCACTCAGGGCCATTGAGCAGTGAGAGATCTTTTTCTTGCCAACACCTACTGCGACACGGGACCTCGATTTATACGGTCTCATCCGAAGGACCTGTCTCCACGTCCGGCAGTGAGATTCGAACCCGCGACGTAAGGATCAACTCCTTACTCCGCGACTCTAGAGCAGACGCTCTAACCACTGCGCCACGCGGGCATGTCAAGAGGTAAGCATGTGATAAAATGATAAATCAAACACAACCGACTTAAAAAGCTGCAGTGCTAACTTGAACAACATGTATGCCGATAAAGCCGCCACATCAGAACTTAATTGTCTTTTGTACATGTAAAATGTAACAATTTAGCGCATACATACTTAAAAAAAAAAAAACATATGTTGATAAATGTACATGACTGTACAAATTGGCAAATTCTCCAAGTACACAATGCATAGAAACTTTCTTTGCTTTATGTCCAGATAAAACGTCGTCGATGTATCTTAATGTCAAGTTAAAGGCCACAGCAAGCGTTTTCTTCTTCTCATATAGAAGTCTACGAATAAATTCTGCTTCATAGGAATATAAAAACATGTCGACTAATAAAGGAGCACAATAAGTGCCCAAGAAATTCCACAGTTTGTTGGAAAATCTGGTCTCCAAAGACTTCATAAATGTTGCCGTCGAGGAACTCCAGCAACCTTTTAATATCAAATACTTGTGTGCAGAATCAAAGAGATTTTTAACAAAGCAATTTTGTTAATGACCAATCACAAGATACGAAAATTCCGAGTTCCATTTCCATTATAGAAGCAGTTGTCTATGATATCAAAAAGCCTAGTTTTTAATTTATCGTCAGGAATGGTTGCATAA